TGAACCACAATGCCGACAAGTGATTAATAAAAGTCAAAAGACCAAAGAGGTCACCTTAATACCAAAAAAAAAAAAACAAAAAAAAACAAAAATATACTAAAATACTAGAAATATACTATAAAGTAGATGCTAGAGTTTAAATAAACTTTGCAAAGACATAATAGTTTAAGGTTAACTTTGACTACAAGTATTAGTTTAGCTATAGCAATACTTAAATTAGTTGTAAAATAATTATATAGCAGACTCTAGAAAGTATATTTTAAGAATAAAAATGTTTTAGGATTAAAACAAAGATTCAGACTTGACCTGATGAAATTAACATAAGACAGATTTAGAAGGTTTAAAATAAAACACTCAAACAGAAATATTAAATATAATAATTAGTAAGAAATATTAGACAAACTTCTTAAATAGTTAATATAGAAAGTTATACAAGTAGATAATTGTCATTATTTTTGTAATAGCTCCTTATAGAACTATATTTACAAAAATGTATTAATAAAGTCAAAAAACTCAAAAGGTTATCTTAATACTAAAAAAAAAAATTTAAATTAATACATAAAAGTTATTATATTTGTATTACAATATTATTATATAAATACTTAATATGATATTAGTATAATTAAAGATTTATTTAATTAGCTAAAATCTTGATCTTTTTTTAATTAATTAAAATTAAAATTAAATTCTAAATGGCTTATATTGCAAACATATTTTTTAATAAAAATATAAGTATAAGAGTCTTTAAATATGGTTTTGTTTATTATAAATTTAAAAATTATATATTTAGAATGTTTTTTTTTTATATAATTATATATAAAAAAGATGATATAGTGACATAGTGAAATGTTCAGGTTATTGATCTTTCAAATAGTAAATTGGGTGTTCAAATTCTATTAATAGCAAAAATTTGAATAATCATTTATATAATATTTATATTATAGTAACTGTTATCAATAATTAGATTAGAATACTTGTAATAGCAGTTGCATCAGTATAACTAGCAAATCATAAAGCATCTGTATAAGTATGGCATTATACAGAGGAATGCAAACTAACAATTAGGTAGTACAAACACTAAATAAGTCCTTGTAGCTATGTAAATTTATTAAAATTAGATAACAAAAAGTTCATTTGAAAAGATCTAAATAGAGAGATAGTTGGATCTTTAATAGTCTTATTGTAAAGGCTAGTTTAAAAAAACAAATACTAAGGTTATAGTTAGACAAGCAAGAACCTTTGAGTTAGAAGTTTTAAAGATACTACCAACTAGGCTGTCAGAATAAATCAAAGAAAAGAATATTAGACTAACTCAATATATTGATAAACTAACTATAGTCCTATACAGGATATCTAAATTAGAAGTCTAATAAAAAGATAGATAAAAAGACAAAGATATACTAAAGTACTGAAGTTATGCTGTAAAGTAGATGCTAGAATCTGTATGAACTCTATAAAAACATAGCAGTTAAATGATATAACTCTGATTACAAATATTAATTCTACTATAGTAATACTGAGTTAGCTATAAAAATAGGTACAGAAGACTTTAAGAAGTTTATTTTAAGAATAAAATAATTCTAAGATTAAAATAATTATCTAGGCATCTGAGTATAATTCAGTAATATTAATACAAGTTGCAGGTTCAGAAGGTTAAAGTAAAATACTTAAGCAAAAATGTTAGATATAGCAATTAGTAAGAAACATTTAAATGAACTCCTTAAATAGATAATATAAAAAAGTAATATATATAGCCAATTGTATACTCTTTTGTAGTAGTTCACTAAATCACATTATCAAAAAAGTCATTAATAAAAATCAAATGACCAAAGAGATCACCTTAATACCAAAAAAAATAAATAATAATAATTATAAAAAATTTTATAAAATATTTAAAAAATTTATATATATATATTTATTAGTTTTTTTGTATGTATTTTTTTTATTTTTTATTTTTTTGTTTTTAATAAGGCTGATATTAATGACAATTATTATCTTTATTTTATTTTTAATTATTATTATATAACTTATATAAGGTAAGTGTATAATTAGCCACATATACAACTTTTGGTTATCTATTTAAGTAGTCTATTTGCAGATTTTATACTAGTTATTATATTTGTAATTTGCTAAAAGATTATCTAATTAAATATTCAAATTCTTATATTACATCTAATAAATATCATACTGGTTTCTGTATACTTGTTAGTATTATTTAATTCAATATTTGATCTTTCTTTTTATATGTTTTTTAATTTAGGTAAAATATTTTTTGTGCACCCCACACCTTGGTGCAGGGTGCTAAGTAGCTATATATCGCTACATAATGCATAATACAAACACATGATATATATCGGGGTTTTAAACAAAACCTTAAGGTAATACATGCATAATATAAACAGCAGCCATTATATTGTTTACTTAATTTGTAATAATGACTTACATACATAAATAAGGGGCATGATTAAACAATTAACTTTTCTTCGCTAGCATAGTAATTCAAAATAGTGTTTGCAAGTTAGTTGTTTATGACAAAGTAAGGCGACGTTTAAAGTTTTGCTTTGTCACAAAGAAAGAATTAGGTTGTAAAAACAAAATCAATAATATATCACAGTAGCAGAACTTATATAACATACGAAAATTACCATACATGCAACATCAGCCACCTATTTTCTTTGTTTAACATAGCAATCTAGAATTATTGAACATAGTGCTAAGAGTAAGGGATCGTTGATCATAAAAGATTTGTTTGGTTAATGAAGAACTACACTGTTTATTTGCTTTTGTGTAATTTTACAGAATAAGCAGGACCATTATTGCCTACTTTTTGCTTGGTGTAGCAGCTCAAAAGTGCAAGTGTAACACAAAAGAACAAGGTGATATCTATGTTTTGTATTGTATAGGCAATTGTTTGGTTAGTTAGAAGCGAAAGAACTAACAAAATATAATGTTATTTGTCTTATAATTTTTACTAGACAAATGGGTACTATTAACTGCTTCTTGCTTGGCATAGCAGTCTAAAAGCAAATGCACATGAAAGAATAAAGATGATATTTATGGTTTGTGTTGTTGTAAGAAAATTGTTAGGTTAGTTATAAGCAAAAGAAACTAATAAATTATTAAATGAATAGAACTTATCAGAAGAAAGTTATCAGGCAATATTTTTATTTAATTTACCTGTAAAATCACGTGAAAATAAAGTACATCCATTTTTGTAGTGCAAAGAGTAGATTAGCAAAATCGAAAAAAATCAATACTAATAGATTACCAGACGATATTTCCTTTTATTGGCGTGTTTGTGAAGTTTCAAGGTTTTATTCAAATTTGGTTTGTTACAAAGCAAGAATTAGAGGATATCAAAAAGGTTATTGGTAATTAGCATTATTTGAACTTCGTTCATTGTTATTATAATTTACAGCCAGGAGCTAATATCGTAATTGGTTTTTATGTTTTGATAGTTTCTTAAAATAAAGATAAGTATTAATCTGAATTCGAATATCGAGGTTGAATATGATGATTCTGGTGAACAATCGGAAGATGAGTATAATGAACCATTAGAGCTTTATGAGGGTAAGAACTATAGCTCTGTGTTTATTAAGAGTTAAATAAAAATAGGTTTTACAGTATCTATATACCAGGTCAAGTTTTTAAAACTGCCGAGGAAGCATATATTACAGTTGAGACTTTTGCTTATTCACATGGGTTTGGAATTCGAAAAGGGCATGTTGAAAAAGATCCAAATAGATATAAGATTTCAAGAACATTTTTATATTGTCATGCTAGAAAACCATTAACTGAAAAAAAATCTCATAAAACAGAGGCATCTGGATTATGTCAAACTGACTGTAAATGGAAAGTTAATATATACTGAAGTAAGCACTTAAATCAATATCATTTTTCTACCTTTACAAATAGTCACACTGGTCATACACTTGATCCAACATCTATAAGATTTATTTCAAAGAGTCAAAAGTTAACTGATGAAATATTAAAAGAAATTGAATATTATACTTTAGTCGGAAAGCTAAATGCCAGTGCTCAGTATCGTCTCCTTTCTGGAAAGTACCAAGTCTCAATTCATCATCGTAATCTATATAATGCAATTTTAAAATTTAAGAGAATAGATTTTCTTGAAGGCAATGATGCATTTAAATTATTGTCTGAATTACTTAAAAAAAAGGATAATGATCCCAGATAGGTAATAGAATAGCAATTTGATACAAATACTAGTGCATTAACTCATCTTTTTTGAATGTCACCTCATTAACTCAACCTTTGGCTTCAATATAATGATATTATTTTTCATGATAACACTGCAAAGACGAACGTTTATAATATGCCACTGTCATTATTTATCACTATAGACAATACCTATCGATCCCGTCTTATTGCGCAGGCAATACTAGATGATGAAATAACCAGATCATATTCTTGGTTGCTTGAAGTTTTAATGAAAGCCACAAATGGCCTTTACCTATATACTATTTTAACAGATGCTGATCCAGCAATAAGTCTCACCCTTTCAACTGTTATGCCTTCGACTCAACATCTTCATTGTATTTGGCATATTGGCCAAAACTTACAAAAAAATCTCAAAAATAAATTAGAACCTGAATGGGATTCATTTATTAAAGATTTTTACAAAACTCGTAACATACTGGATCAACAAACATTTGAGATTTGTTTTAAAAATTTATTGAAGCATTACCCAAAAGCAGCACAATACCTTAATAAGGCTTTATACTCTGATAGACATTCTTGGGCAAGAGCATATACCTTCTGTCACTTTACTGCTAGTATACAGGCAACCAGTCATGTTGAATCGATTAATTCTCATATTAAAGTTATTACACATCATGGACATATAATACTGTGTGATTTATTTAATTCTCTTGATTCTTTGATAGCCAGACAAGATTATTATTATGATTTTATTAGCTGGAAATCATCAATCCAAATATTAAACCACCAAATATTTGTGACACTATGTACATGAATATTGATGCTATTCTTAAAGCCTTTGTTGCGCTCAACATAATTGAAAAAATTTATTATGAAATAAATCATAGTCTATTTTATCACACATTCAAAATTAGTCCTGAGTCTTTATATTTATACCAGGTAAAATAATTATTTGCTACCTTATATTAGTGTTATCCACTTAATAGCAATTTATTTGTTCAACTACAAGTGATCGATTGACAGGTTCATTTTACCAGTGAACAATTAACATTATTTTACAAATAATAGTGGAATATAAAATATCATAACTATAGTGATTGTTGATAGACTAGTTTTAGTAAAATGAGTTTGTTGGTGAACTATTAAGTCAATGAACTTATTTGATTTTTTTTTCTAATGACAGATTCAAGATGATAATACAATGTTCATTGATGATGCATTCGACTATCCTCTGGCTCATTTTTTTTTTCTTTTTAAACAATTAGAAGAAAAAATAGTTGAAATTTGGGAAGTGATTCACATAACCTGGAAGCATTCTAAATTACATGTATTTTTATTCAAAGATGGGTTGTTTATATGTAGTTGCATGCTATTAATTAATCGTAGATATCCTTGCAAACATTTTTTTCGTGTTATGGTATATTCTCTTGCTGCAAAATTTTTCATTAATTTTGTAGTAAGTTGCTGGTTATGTGATGAATATCAAGATAAAGATCTCAGTGCACAACCTCTTGTCAGCTTATTAACAGTTTTCTTATCCAAACCAGCAGAAGAATTATTAATTCCAACCACCATATTACAAACAAATGATTCTGCAAGTTTATTTTTAGCAACAAGTGAAATATCTAGCTTGGCGCACTCATCACCTGCTGCTAAAAAATCGATGCAAAAGAAAAAGGTTTATGCAGAAATTATTGGAATTGCACGCAAAGCAATTAATATTGCTATTGAAAAGGATGATTCATGCATTCTTAAGTTTTTAAAGAAATATATTGTTAAAAATGAACATTCGCTTGTTGAGAATACAGCCAGTGCATCAGTTCTGAATTAAATACCATCTCCAAGGATCTGCCTGTTAAAGTTTCTAATCCTGTAAAAAAAACTAGAAGGGGTTGTCCACCAAAAACAGCATGCTATCAATCATCTTTGGAAAGCCAACATTTAAAGAGCCAGGAGAAATGACCTAAATTAGCATGTGGTCTAGGAACCAATACATGTAGTAAATGTGATGGTAAAGGTCATAATCATCGATGGCATCTTAAACATAAAAATAGGGTCTATGATTCATCAATCATTTGTGAAATTTATAATGGGCATAGTCATAGGAAAGAACAACATAATATTAATTCTATAGAGGCAAATGAGTTTGATCAGGCTGCCAGTGATGAAAGTGAAAGTGAAAGTGAATGGGCAAGTTCTAGTAATTCAGAATTAGATGCTTAAAATAATTATTATTTAGGATAGTTAGTAATTTTCTGCTTATGTGAAAAATATTAATGAATTAAATACATAGTTGATTCTTATTATATATATTTTTCTTTTGTGTTAAATACAAATCATCTAATCTTTTATGATAATTCAGGATCAGTATCTTAATTGGCTAAGACAGCATTAAGTAATATAACTCTATAGCAAGTATATTTAATGAATAGCTAGCTATACTTTATGTAATATTATTATTAGCAGTCTAGTAAATTAGGATACTTATTTTGAATTTTAGTAACTGTAATATTTGTAGTACATATGTATATGCTACCTAAATTTATATACATATTGTTAAATACTTGATATTGACAGTTTGCAACTATAACGAGATTTGACTGTATTTTATTAACTATTAGATTTGATTAGCTTTTCTAATATGCACAGTTTCGATTAAGGTTTAGAGCTCTAGCATTATTAAACCATGAAGATTTTATATAAAAATTGCTGCGTATATGTTAGGATTAGGCTTAAGTTTTTTATAGTGATAATACAGTTGTTAAGGTTGGGCAAAATATTATTTCAATACACAAGTAAATTATATAGTGCATAAAGGTAAATCTGGTCGATATAATTATGTACATATATGTAGCACTGTTAACACAAAGATATATCAAACATCGCTTGTATATTGTTAGATTAAATTGTTACACAATTTGTTGTATATAGTCATGTATAAACCTATTTGTCCAATAGTATTGTTATATATATGGTCATGCAATATATAATTAGTGTAACTATTGATTCTATTCGCAGATTATATTGTTACATATATAGTATATATTTGTGTAACTATTAATATTATATAATAATAGTATTTAATTTGATTGGCTAATAATACCCTGCACACAATGCAGGGTGCACCAAAAATAAATACCCTTTAATTTATTATATATTTTAAAATATTTCATCTAACTGTAAAATTTTAAATATTTTTTTGTTAACTAATCTACTTATTTTTATAGAACATTAACAAATTTGTCTTTGCAAAGTTCACTCAGACCCTAATACAAACTTTACAGAATATTTTTAGTACTAATAATATATTTTTATTTTATTATTTAACTTTTAATTCAAATAGCTTAGTAGGACTATAATCTGTTTTTAATATACTAAGTTCAGTCTAATATTTTTTTTCTTTTAGTTTGAAACTTATAATGATCTAGTTGATGGTATCTTTCATTTAGAGGTTCTTGTCTGTTTGATTTCTTTACATTGATATTTGTTTTCTAGATCTAATTTTTATAATAGTATTGTTAAAAATTTGTATTATTTTTTTACTCAAATCTTTTCAAATAGGCTTCAGTTTTTCTAATTCTACAAATTTATATAGCTACAAGAACTTATTTTAGTTTGCATTATCTGGTGCTAGTTTGTATCTTTATATATAACTAAGATTATACAGATGCTTTTTGATTTGTTAGTTATACTAATATGACTATAGTTACAGAAATTTTATCTTAACTAATCAACAAAATACATTGTCATAATACAGATGTATTTTTTTAAATTTTATCTTTGAAAAGTTTTGAATTTACAATCTGCTATTTGAAGGTTGATAACTTATTCACTTTACTAAGTTATCATATTTTTTTTTAGACTATATAAATAAAATTAATTAATTCTTATTATATATTAAAATAAAAAAACATCTGAAACTCAACTGTTTTTGTATAAACTTAAAAAAATGTTTTATAAAAAAAACTATATAAAAATAGTAATTACCTAACTCAAAAATTATTATAACAGCTTATTTAAGTTTTAATAATCTTTATAAAAATAGCTCTTTTTTGAATATGCTTTGCAAATTAGAAAGTTTATTTTAATTTGCTACTAGTTTTTTAGATTTCTTGCATATACAAAATTAAATATGTTGATTTGCAATAAGACTATATCTTTATTGATAGCAACTTGCAAGTGTATATAAATATATATAATAAGTATTTAAAACTATTTTATAATTATAATACTAAATTTAGATATACATTAAAATTCAAAAAAAAATCCAACAAGAAACTAGAATTTTTTTATAGAATTTCTGTATATATCTATAATAATATACTAATATAATGTAATTTTAAATATATACATAAAAACAAGCATATCAGAAAGTATAAAATCAAGATATTTTTATAAACATTTACTACAGTTTTTAGCTTGATTTAATTTGTACCATAGTAAATATAATAAAAATTTTTTATTTTTTTTTATTTTCAAAATTTTTTATATTTTTTTTATTTCAAAATTTAATTCATATTACTAGTTTTCAAATTGGTTATACTTTACTTATATACTTAAATAATGAAATAATTTTAGTCAAGTTATGAATCATACGAATTTATCACAACTCTCCCTGACGATCACTTGGACACAAAATTAGTGGAAAAGAAAATAGATTTTCTGCATAAACAGCAATAAGAAAGGTTACAAACAGCACTAAAGAAAAGAAACAGCAA